AACCTAGTATCGATGGCCTCCAGCCTACTAGCAATGGCCTCCAACCTACTAGCGATGGCTTCCATGTGCGATGTTCGTTGGCATGTTGTCACAGCATGACAGTGTGCCACCTCCCTTTCATCGAGGTGGCACGGGAGATCCGCTCAAAGCTGGTGAGGCACATGGGTCTTGCACCCAGCCAATCTCTCAGGATTCTTACACCCAACATTTTGACATAATCTGCAGCAAGAGGCCTTTTATGACGTTGAATGGAATCATACTCAACACAAGCTGTTCGAGAACGGAACCGCCTTCCTTAAGGTATTGTTGTGCCGCTGGAAGAGGAGGAGTTTCCCAAGACCACCAGTGGCAAAATCCAACGCAACCAGTTGAAGCTTCTGGGACCAAAACGGCGTGTGGCACGAAAAAACGAAACTGAAGCTTTTTTTTCACTAACTATAGAGAGGCAAAATCTAGTAGCATCGCTATTAGGTTGGAGGCCATCGCTCTTAGGCCATCGCTATTAGGTTGGAGGCCATTGCTTAATAGGAGAGGGAAGAGGCAACGAGAAAGACAAATAGCAGAAGAAAGTCGTTTGCAATAGTCCAGAGTCTGAAGAACCCTGCGGTTCTCGATGCATGTGCAAGAGCCTTTTTGGCAGCTAGCTAGCCTTGTTGACAGTTTTCTAGTCGCTACCAATTTGCTGCGGGACCATTGCATGCCTTGGCTAATGCCTTGACCATTGCAATCCGCCCAGGAAAGCCTTGCAAGCAGGTGACTTCGATGCCCGCGTGCAGATGCTTTAGCAAAGAAAGAACGCTTGACCGGCCGCTTCCAGACGGTTGACCTTTCCTGACCTTGCACGGACATGTCAATCGCTTCTTGTTTCTACTAGTAACAAGTGCCACGCTAGTAGTAACAGGTGCCTTACTAGTAGTAACAATGTTTGCTATTTAGAAACAATAAGCTAATAGCTTCTTGTTACTACTAGTAAGGCACTTGTTACTAGAAGCGATGCACTTGTTCCTACAAGCACGCCAGATGTGTCTCTTTGAGGTCGGATCTTGCTGCTTTGGGCTTAGAGGCGCTAGACTCACTGGTGACCCTCGCTAGACTACTGAATGTTCACAGCCAGGTGCCCACGCAAAGTGGACATCTCAGTGCGGAGAAACACAAAGTGCAGAAACATTGCAAACAATCAATGGTCAAACAGTCAGTGAACGAGATTCCGTTGCAGAGACAAATGACTCAAGTTGCACAAGCGGGCTATTCCAAGGGAAGAGAAGCTCACAGGCGATGCACTCGGTTTTGTTTGGTGTAGTGTGTCGTTGAGCAAGCCGTTGGAATTGAGCGATCAGATCGTTCTTTGTCCATTCACCCCCTTCGCATTCTGAGCCGTGCTAGGCGCTCAGCAAGGCACGAGTTGGGGCGCCCACAGGTTTCGCAGAATTCAGACCTGCGACCGAAACCGCTATTAGGTTGGAGGCCATCGCTATTAGGTTGGAGGCAATGGCTTTTAGGATGGAGGCAATGGCCTCTAGGATGGAGGCCTTTTCGAGCATTCTCGTAAGAGACGTTGACTTTTCGCAGTTTGGTCAGTGGAGCGAGGGTCAGATTCTGTGTATACAGCGTATCCGCAGCGCACCTGACTGCCATAAGGCACTGGCGCTGCAGTCCGCAACTAAGGGAGTTGAGATTCTTGAGTTTCAACTTCAAGTTTCAATGCCGTCACCAAGGACAGAGCTGCTTGCAGCCTTTTCCGCTTGCGTCTGAGTCATGCTTAACAAAAACAGGCTAACCTACAGATCAGTGAGTTAGTGGCTCTTACAACAGAGTGCATGTTTGTATTCTCCTGTTCCATGGGAGGTTGACTCCCAATTGAAATCTCTGTGGCGCTTGACTAGGCAGCCCGCTTCCAGAAGAAGCTGAATGAACTGGGACGTGCCCGGGCCCCAGGTTTTTTCTTAAGCCACTATCAACATCCATCAAAAATATCAATCAACTATCGTCTTGGATCTTTGTGTCCTGAAGTTGCCAAGGAGTGCGCAGAAGTGCCAAACTCAGATGTTGTGTGAGTCTGTAAGAGTCTCTAAGACAGGTGGAGCGGGTGTAGCAATTTCACGGAATACAATGTGACTCCCTCTTTCCAACGTATTTCAGATTTCCGGTCAAAAGAAGTTACAGGGCTCCTGGTGCCCAGCGAGTGCCGCGTTGCGAGAGAGCGGTGACGCAGGAGAAGGAGAAAGGGACGTCATATCATTCGGCCCGGGACTTGGAGGGCCATCGCTACTTGTTACTAGAAGCGATGCACTTGTTACTACTAGCGTTTGTTACT